TTCTTTATTTAATAAACTAGATAAAACAGAGAAAGCAGCAGCAGCACTGTGTGTTGCTGCTGCAACCACCGAACGAATCATCTCCTGTAAGCGAGCATTCTGCATCTCCGGTTTCTTTGCAAATGACTCTGAAAAACATAAAAAAAACAAAAAAAAATAAAATAAAATAAAATAAAATAAAATAAATTCAAGAAACGAGAAAAAAAAGAAAGCTGCAGTGACACCACAGAAGAAAGCAACAACGCATGAGCTGTATCTGTTGAGCATTTTCGGTGTTTTTTTTGTTGAAAAACAGCAAAAAATAAATTAAAATAAATAAATAAAATAAATTAAAATAGTAAAAAATAAAGAAAATAAAATAAAATAATAGAAAATAAATAAAATAAAATAAAATAAATATAAAAAATAAATAAATAGTTACAGTGAATTGAACTCACGAATAGCAGCGCGTTCAGCAGCAGAAAGTAAACCGAATTTCTTTTCTATCGCCGCTTGCGGTGTCAGTTGATTGTATTTATTTTTTTTTTCTGTTTTTATATTTTTTTCTGTTTTTATATTTTTTTCTGTTTTTATATCTCCTATTTCATCTGCAGAAACTGAAGAATCTGTTGAATATTCATCAGAGCTGCTGGAAGTGCTTTCGTTGTCCTGCAGCAGCCCTTCTCCCTGCTGCTGCTGCAGCAGCTGTGCTGCTGCATCGCTGCTGCTGCTGCTGCTGCTGCTGCTGCTGCTGCTGCAGTTTCTATCAGCTGTTTCTACTGCAGCTGCATCTGCAGCAGCAGCTGCATGTACACCTGAATATATTGATTGAACGCCTTCGGCACCCGCAGCTGAGCTGCTGCTGCCGCTTCCTTTCTGCTGCTGCAGCTGCTGCTGCTGCTGCAGCTGCTGCAGCTCACACGGTGTCTTCGTGTGTTCTTTGTAGCAGCCAGTGCTGCAAAAACGATTGCTGCAACACCGAAACTTATATTTACCTTCTCCCTCGCCACAAACAATGCAGGCCCCCTTTCCTTTTCTATCGACGCCCCCTGCAGCAGCAGCACGAGCAGCAAAAGCAGCACCACTGAACCTCTTGCTGCTTGAACTGTAGCTGCGGCCTC